CGGGTTCCTCGAACCCAGGCCCTGGGTTCCGAACCCAGCGCCTGGGTTTGAGTCGAACCCGCCTGGGTTTTTACTTCTGTTTCTTTGTTCGCTGCAGTCATGCTTGGCTATCTTGGAATGGGATTTAGAATTTTGTGTGGTTTCTGATTGCTTGAATTTCAAGATCTAGTTACTGTTAGTGTTGATTGCTGATAGTGTTGATTGAAGAGATGTTGTGTTTTACATTTTTCCTTACAGATCTGGTATACATTTGCAGAGGAATTGATTTTTTGAATCAGATATTGTGCGAGGAACCAGATTTGGGTTCTATTAGAGAGGAGGTTTGGGGAAGAAGTAGATGGTGATTGAAGTGGTACTAGATGATCGGAGCAATGAGGGATGACCGGAGCAATGAGGGATGACCGGAGCTGATTGGGTTGCAAGATGAGGAGACATTGAGAGACGAGATGGGATGGAAGATGAAGAGGGTATTTAAGAAATTTTAAATTTTTTAATATATAAATTAATTAAAATGGCGTGGATAATAATGGGTTAAATTATTTTCCACGTAATTAAAGATTTCAAATAATAATTGATTTTGTGGCAACCTAACGTGCCATCTGGCATTTTCGTTGACGGAAGGACGAAATTGGTATCGAAAATTGAAGTTTAAGGATTTTTTTAGTACTTGTTGAAGTTGGAGGGTATTTTTAGTTCAAAAATGAAAGTTGAGGGACTGAATCGGGGATATAACCAACTAAAAATTCATGTCTTGTTTTCAAAAGAAGAGAACATCATCAGGAGTTGTCGTTGTACATGGCCTAACTAATGAAGACTCGAGGCACCTGATTCTCAAGCTCTCTCCTGTTCTTTTCGTCGCTTTGTTATTAAACCAAACCACCCCTACCCCTCTCTCTTTCCTCACTTGTTCTTATCTACATGCAGTATTTTGCTTCTTTCATTTCATCTGGGTATTTTGCTTTCTTCACAGTTTCTTCCATTTGGGGAGTGCTGCTTGAGAAAACAAAATTGGGTTGTGCTGATAGGGACGGTGTGGCAAAAAAAATTTGAGTGCTGGTCTAGGTCTAAGTCGAAGTCTAACAGCAGCGGTTAGTTTTTTATTTTTTATTTTTTAATATTTTAAAAATGTAAAATAAAAAAAAATGCATATAAATCTCAACTTTTAAAATAAATTGAAATTTTAACTTTAAATTAGATCATTTTATTTAATTAAACTTCAATTTAAATTTAAAAAAATTATCTTATTAAATATTTGTATTTAAATTTAAAAATTAATTATATTAAAATATAAAATTAATTTTTAAATTTAGATATCAATATTTAATAAAGTGAGATTTTAATTTTCAAATATAAATTAAAACTCCAATTATTTTTTAGAGACAAAATTGATCTCACTAACCTTAATAAAATATATAAGTAATATATGTAATATTTATATTAATATTTAATATTATTAAAGTAATAAAGAAATATAAAAATCAAAAACTAAATGTTGGCCCAGATGACAACCCAAGAGGCAAAGTGAATTGTATTTCTAAAAACTTTATGCAACTTTCAAGCACAAAACAATGAACATTGCAAACAAATAATTTAAAATGTAGAAATTAAAAAGTTAAGGAAAGAGAAAGGTCAAACCTAAGGATTTATAACAGTTTGGTCACAATTTGTGTTTAGTCCACTCCTCAAACCGCTTGCTTAAGAGTTAATTTTGAATTCAAAAGCTCTCCTCCAACTTTCAAGTGTAGAGGTAACCGTTTGCAATAGTTTTGTCGACGCTATCCACCTTCAACAACTCAACCCCTTGTTACAATATCTCACAAACCCAATCTTATACCACAAGGATGGATTACTAGACCTAACAAAGTTTCCCAATAGCTTACGGGTGCTATTAAATTGTTTAATCCCCTTGTTACAAATCTCTCAACCCTTCTTATATCTCAAGGATGGATTATTAGATCTAATAAAGTTTTCTCGATTTCTCTCTCACTTGTTATAATGAAAGAGAACAAGAAAATAAAAGAGAATAAGAAAATAAAAGATTTCACAAAACACAAAGTAGAAACTTAATCACTCTTGGTTTTTCAACTTGAAGGCTCTATTCTTCATGCTTCTCCATTCTTCCAGATCTAGTTTTATAGCTTGAGAATACTCAATTAGTGTGTTTTACCATTGGAACTCCTTTTTAGAATGAATATATTCCAAATATGATAAGTAAATTAATGTCCTAGTATAGAGGGTTGGAACTTAAATGATTTCCTGCACTATCTTGCAAAAAAAACAGAATTATCAAGGGTTCCAAACCATGTCCCAAGGATTGGAACCTTAACTATATAATGCACTTTTTATTTTTGGCTCCTCACAATAAGGAAATATAATCATGCAATTAAATATTTATTTAAATAGATAAAATACTTACAAATAACAAATGTACTTATACCCAATGCTCACCCTTGTTCTTAACCGATGCACAAGAGAACATCGAAAGAAGCTTTGTGACCTAGAAAACAAGTGATAGTTTGGGCTTGCAAGGAGGAAGAAACATGTTAGCCCATAATAGACCCAAGAAAGGAAGGCTCGTTATTATAGTCTGTCAATCTTGATTGGATACAGGCCTGGGATAATATTTGAGAAAAAAAAAGAAAAAAAAGAAAACTAGAGTCCTAGACCTCAAATGCCCTCCCCCAGCCAGCGGCGACATCAAAATTGAAGTCAACCGCTCCCCGAACTTTGCGGCGATTCCGACCGAAGTCCTCTCTCACCGTCGTCTCCGTCATTTCAACGTCGATCTCTGGCTCCAAAGCTCCTCTGAAAATGGAGGACTGCCCGATCAACCGCCTCCCGCAAGACACGCTCCAACAGATCTTCTCCTCTCTTCCCCTCCGTCAGATCGTAACCTGCCGCTCCGTCTGCAAATTCTTCAACCAAATCCTGTCCTCCACCTCCTTCTTACGCCTCATCTCCGCCCAACCCCCTCTAAAGCTTCTCGTCCTCCGCCCTTCTCACCACCACCACCATCGCAACCGCCACGTGTCTCTTTATTCTTCGCTCCACCTGTACGATCCAGGCCAAAATCAGTGGCTCAGGTTCAACCTGGATTTCCTGCCTTTTCGATCCCTTCATCCTGTAGCTTCTTCTCTCGGTCTGATCTACCTCTGGGCCGAGTCCCGTGATTCCACCGAGTCTAACAAGTCATTGATCGTCTGCAACCCGTTGACTCGCCACTACAAAATTCTTCCCCAGTTGGGCTCGGCGTGGTGGCGTCATGGCTCGGTCCTGGTCGACTCAATGAACCGAGTCATGGTACTTTCTGAACTAGCTGCTCTTTTCTTCTCTCCTGTACAGAAAGATCAATGGCTGAAATTCTCCTCGAATTTACCTGCGAAACCGAGGAGCCCCATTTTGGTATCTAACTCTGTTTTCGCTCTCTGCGATGTCGGATCTCCGTGGAGGAGCCAATGGAAGTTATTCTCTTGTTCTGTATCAAGCATGCTGAATCTGAATGTCACCCATAACAATTGGGAGTGTTTGGAGAGGCACGAGTGGGGGGACATATTCGACATCATGAAAAGGCCGCGCTTGGTACGGGGGAACGGAAACAAAATCTTGATGATTGGGGGTCTGAAATCAGGGTATACCTTGAATCCATCATGTTTGACAATATTGATATTGAGATTGGATTTGGAGAGCATGGAGTGGGAGGAGGCTGGGAGGATGCCGGCAGATATGTATAAGTTGTTTCAGGAAAGCAAATTCAAGGTGTTTGGAGAAGGGGATACGGTGTGCTTCTCTGGGAAGAGGGTTGGCAGGCTGGCGCTTTGGGAATGCTCAAGGTGGCGGTGGATTGAAGGGGTGGCTGGAAGTGGGGATGGGCTCTTCCGGGGTTTCACCTTTGATGCCAGGCTCGACGTAGTCCCGTGATTCCCACCCGAGAATTCAAGGTCTGTATGCCGATTCAGATTCTTGAAGCATTGTTGTTGTTTGTTTGTATCTATGTTATGAGGTGTCAGATAGATGCTGTATTTGGTGACTTTGATCTGTGGTTACTAGTGAAGAGGGTGAATGTTGTTTGAATATCTTGTTAAAGGTAGCATTTAGCACTAATGCAAGAGAAACATAACTTGTTATTTGGAAGGAAAAATGAGTGGATTGTGCTATGTTCTATTTGTTATTCTACAACTGTATGGATTGTTTCCCTTTCATCCACTGACCAAAATGGAAGTTAATGTGCCTTCTTTTATCAGATTTTCAATTCATTCATGTGGTAAAATGTTGATGTTAAATATTTTTCATTGTCATGTAATAACATCTTCCTTAGATAGTTCGCTTCTCTAATTTCTTTTCGGTAATTTATATGTAGCATTTGGGAATCAAAATGTAACATCATCATGTTATCTATTGAATCAATATTAGATTTGGGTTCAGGTGGATTTTAAGTAAGGTTTCAGATGACATAGACCTAAAATTGGTGTAGCTGGCTCTTTGCTTTATTGTTGTAGCATTAGGTTGCTGTTTTTAGAATCATGTTTTTAAGCATGATTTTAACAAAAAGAAGGTGACTCATCAGAACTGGCATAACTGCCCCAACTTGCCATCCGGTCCTAGTGGCTAGCTTTTGCAATCCTTTCTTGAGAAACCTGAGTCTACAAGTTGTTGGGGTTTTTTTTTTTTTTCCTTCCATCCTCATGGCATCACGCCATGGTGTTATTTTAGTTCTCTTGATCATATCAGAGTTGCATAATGCAATTTGTAATTCACACAGACTTCCATTATTTGTAGTAGTTCTCTCTTTATTTTGCATTTCTGCTTCATTCTTTCAATTTTGCTGTTTTGGAGAGTCTTGACTGCAGCACTAGCCCTGCGTCCCTACCGTCCTTTGCCATCCCAACCCTGAATGGATGTTATGGCATGCTGGGTTATGCTTTATATACGTGAGAGGGCAAGGTTTATTTGGAGGCCTAGCCTTATGAAAGAATTCTTGTTAGCAAAAAGCACATCAATATATGAACTCTTCAACTTAATGAGTTGCTCTCTTATTTTCAAGCATCCTAGAACTTTTCTTCTTCCAAATTACCGCATAAGACAAAGTGATCTGTTTTTGACATCAACTAATTGTTCTGAAGAATATAGGAGATTAAGTTCTTGATGAAAAGATATTTGTCAGAAGAGCTTTTGTTTTTTTCTTTTCTTCAAATGATCGAGCCTTATTATTATAAATTGATTCCACCACCTTATCCTCCAAAATTGTGTTTTAAAACAACATTTTGGATTCAAAGAATATCATCTTCTTCTTTAAGGGTAAGTTGACCAAACCAGAAAGGCAGATAAACAAATTCTGCGGACTCTAAATCTTCCCTCTAAATGTTGGATGATATCAACCTTGTGAAGGTCTGAAATGATTGAAGTTATTATGAACGAAACCTTCTTTCTGCAAGATCTGCCATGCCATCAACAGTGGTTATTGAATTTCTTCCATCATGTGGATCTCATCAATAACATGATCCTCAAGACTTTCCAGAGATCCCCTTCAGTGTCTTAACACAAGGTTTTGTAATATATTCATATTCTACTTTATAAGTTACAATGAGATGGAGTTCTTCCTTACACAAAAATTTCCTTGTGCAGATTCTTGGCTGCATGTCTCCATGCTCCAGAGATAGATACAAGGTAAAAAGGTAACACACAGAATCCATCTCAGTTTAAAGTTTGGTCATGGTTGTGCTCCTTTCTTTTATTCCAGCAAAAGACAGTCTTTTAGTTAAAGCATGGCCTAGAAGTCCTAGCACTTTATTATACTTAAATTATTGCATGACATTTTTGTTTTTATTATTATCCCAACTAGTAAGCTCGTGGACACTGGAATTGTATAATAATGATACAAACATAATGATGCTGATTAAGCCATTGAGTCATTCTTTAGAAATTAAAGTCATTCTTTATAATTAAAAAGTAAAATGATGTCATTAACATATAGAAATATGGCAAAACAAGCAGGCCTTTTTATTTGTTCCTTGTGCTAATGTGCTCTTACGCTTGTTTTATACATTGGAGTGAAAGATAGGGATTGGGTTAGAGTCCCAGGTTGCCAAATGGCAAAAAAACATATTTGTGCATGTTTGTTTTTCGAATGTTTTGGACGGTAAATTTGTAGGAATTGCCAACAAAGAGAATCTGTATCTGGAAGTTATGGAGACCTAGCATTGATTGTTGTTTGATTCCAGTTCTTTTCCAGCACATTTATGAGTCCAGGAGTTGGACACTTGAGCTTTGAACTACGCCCTAGCCTTGTCTCCCTCGTAAAGAAGAAGAGTAGTAACAAGGTTAAGTCTAAAACTATTTAATCAGGAAGTTGTTGAAAAGTGATTTTCAGAGAAAAAAAAAAGTATAAAGATGTCAACTATGTATTTTTTTATTTAAATGTATTTTTTATTTAAAAATATTAATTTTATCAAATTTTAAATAAGGGTATCAACTTTTAATTTTTTTTTATTTGAAAAT